AAATTCAAGTTAAACACTGTAAACATGTCTAAAATTAGATACAAAGAGTGCCAATCAACAGAAAAAGAAGAAAAAGAGTATCTGTCTACATAATTGGACAGATACAGGTATGTATTGTATGTTGTATGTATTAAATATTATGAGTCATTTTATTGTTTTTACACTTATAAATATCCTCCATCCACATTAAAAAGCCAAAAACAGAGAAAATAGAAAGGATCTCATATAAAATTAAGACTGGGGGGGAAAAGGCATGTTTTATTTGCAATTTTTTATTTAAAAAAAACAAAACAAAAACATTTTTAATGTTTTTATTTTGTCTCACGTTCTATTTTTGGTCCTTCAGCTGCTTTTTACATTTTTTTTTTTTTTTTTTGAAGTGTACGGTTTAAAAAATACACAACATCAGCTAAAGATGATGCTGCTGATAAACAGTGGAACTGAGGAAAATTTTACGTTTTCGCTTAAAGTGTTTGTTAAATTGCTACAGATTTCACTTCTGTCCAATGAGTACAGTAATTCAACCGGCTACTTATTTCACTGTATTGCACCTGAGTAATGTTTGCCCTGGTTTTCTTTGCTCCCAGACATGCTGCCAGTGCCCACCCTTGTTCTCCAGCAGCAGACAGATGTGTGGCATTTGTTGTGCACAGGGTCTCCTGCATACCCCGGTGCTGTGTTCTCCCTCTACCTGGCGGATAACAAACTACCCGTTGCCACTTACACTGCCAAAATTATCCACCATCAAGCCGTTTTCCCAGTGCCGGTCCAGGACACTCCAGTGGCTCTGTACCAGTGCCAGTACAGTGTACAACTGGGAAGAAAATGGAGTAACTCTGAACAAAGCCTACCTTTGACTGTAATCAGAGGTACACACATACTCCTCTAATAAATGCGAGTGATTTATTGTAATTTTAGAGAAAATGTGACTTTTTTACTTCTTTGTTCTTCAATTTTTAGGAACTTCCTCTCAATCATCACCAGGTATGTCTACAATAACATTACATTATTTCATATGTGCTTCTAGCTTCTGGGACTATAGGGCTGAATTTAAAAAAAAGTGTCACAGCTGTCTGAGCTGCAAGGCAGTTCATCCCTCAACAACCTAAGTAGCTGCAGCAACTACCCTGAATCCTACTTACACTCCAGTGGCCGAGAATAAAAATCCCTTTATACCTCCCAGTCCTTTTTAAATCTGATGCTAATGGCAGTGGTGATGTCTGCAGATTCCTCAGGTGTGGACTGGCCTCTTGTACTCGGCTCTTTTTCTGCTGTGGTTCTGTTCCTCTGTTCGTTGGCACTTGTGGTTGTGGTGGTGCACAGGAAAGGTATTTCACATGAAATTTTCTACTTTCTCGCTAATATTTTTTGCGCTGCCTTGATTGCCTTCTTTGTGAAACCAATTTTTTTCCTTTCTGTCACTGTGGTTTAAAGTAAAAGCAGCTGCAGAGGAAAAGAAGAAAAGGTATTGCCTTTTTAGTCTTATTAAAGTAGTATCAAAATGTGCAATAGCGTTTTTAAAAGCCTCCTGTCACAATTTGGAGACAGATTTTCATACCTTGAGACACAAAAATGTATTACTGGATTACATTATAGATTTTTTTTGTATTTTTTGTTGCTATTTTACACTTTTTCAGGCAGGAAGCACAGTTTTGGACTCAACTTCATGCTAAAGACCACATTGTTGGTGAGGTTTTCTTTTCACAATCACACTTCCTCCTTTGGAGATTCTATTTTTATTCATTTTCTGTTTCAGCATAATTGTTCCGGGAACAAAACATCACATAAATATTCTAAGTAAACAAATTAAATCGAATGACTGATGTGACTGCTTGTCGTTTCTTTTCAGATCTTACACTCAGGCGTGCAAGCTTCACTTCTCAGGTAAATATTATCCATCATCTGGCTCTCACACTGCTAATACAAACTTTCATATGATCAAACATGGTTAAGTTTGTGATAGTTTCCTTTTCTCCTTTGTACATCCCTTTTTGTCACAAGATTTCAAGTCAGAGGATAATGCTGGCTGTCTTTTTGTTAAAAATCTAATGAACTCAAAGATGTGTTTGTGTCTGTCCTATACTTTCTAAATATCTGTAGCTCTCAGGCTCAAACCCACTGGTTCCAAATAAAAGTGTTGATCTTTAAATCAGGTCACAAACATATAATTTCTGTTTACTCAGACGGAAATAAATAATGCATTTGTTGGTGTTTGCTTATAAAAACACACTTGAGTATTTTCCTCAGCCAGAAACTGTATATGTGATTGCCTCAAAATGCACTGCAGTGCTCATGTTGATCATATTGACGGAATCAGGTTTTGGATGCACAGGTAATACTTGTTAGCAGGAACAATTCATTGGTGCTTTTGGTCTTTCATTGGGAATTGTTGACAAGAAGAAAAACATGGATTGCCTTATCCCCTCAGTCAAATTAAACTTTGCAGTAGCAAAACTTTCCATCTGTTTAGAGTTTGACACAGAAATGGGTCATGTGCAGCTGTCCCACGTCATCTTAGTTCTTTCTTTTGGAATTTCTGGTATTCCTTCCTCTGTGTTTCGTCTGTAGATTCATGATAAACACCGGTAAACTTCCCAGATCCCTTTTCTATAAACATACACACACACACACATACACACACGTGCACTCACACTCACTTATCACTGCACACAGCTTTGTCAGCTCATATTGGCACATACAGTACTCATTTGATAAGTGCTGTTGTGCGGTGCTCGAACATGCCTCTCATTAGTTGTAATCACTTTCATTAATTAGCTTGATGAAGGGCCCTCAGACTAAAGGCTCTCTGCAAACTATGTGTCTTTCTCACTATGTGCTCTGTAACTCAGCTGCCATCTTAGAGGACAGAATGCAGCCACCACAAACTGAAAGTAACCACCTCCCACATAAGAGCAGTAATCTATAGTTTCCCAGTCTTTCTTTTATTTTATCTTACATTTACTATGTACTGTTGCTGCACAGCAAAGAGACAAAGAATTATCTTTAGTGTTACACTCTATCTGTGTGAAGCAGTTTCATTAGGATAGGCCTAAATGAGCCTAAGTCCTGGTTAAGGGAGGCTCTGAGAGACAGAAATATTGTTCAAAACTGCAATGATACAGTTGTGAACAGAAGTTTACGTTTGTAAATACCACATGTCACCATGGCTGACTCCCATAACTCAGTTTTTTTTTTTTTTTATTTATGATGGAATCACTGAAACCCATGTGTCTTTGGCACAAAAACAACAAAAAGCAATCATGCATTTTGATTCTTTCATAGTTCCATTAAATGTATAATGGAAATGTGACAAAATCTGCTGGGTCAAAAACATATACGTACAGTAATGCTCTGGTTAAATAACTAACTAGGCCCTTTTGGTAGACATGTACAAGCTTCTGGTTGTATCTTTGACCTCTACTCTTGACAGAATTGGTACAGTTCAACTATATTTAACACAAACTTTTTTCTTCATCACAGTTCATAGGTTCTCGATGGGGCTTAAGTCAGGACTTGCCTGGCAATGCCTAAAACCTTAATTCTAGCCTGATTTAGCCATTTCTTTACCACTTTTCGATGTGGTCGTTGTCTTCAAATCAAATCAAATCAACTTTATTTATAAAGCGCTGAAACAAAGTAACACAACAAAATAAAGCAACAACAAAAACAGCATAGAACAAAAAAAAACAAAAAAAAAACAAAACAACTAAAACAGAGCGAGGTCTCATGCTGGGTTAAAAGCCAGTGAATAAAAGTGGGTTTTGAGGTTGGTTTTAAAAGCAGACAGTGAGGAGGCCTGCCTGATGTGCAAAGGTAGATCGCTCCACATTTTAGGAGCAGAAACAGAGAATGCTCGGTCCCCTCTAAGCGTTCACTTGGACCTCAGTACCTGAAGGAGCAGCTGCTCAGCTAACCAGAGGTACCGTGCAGGGGCGTAGGGGTGTAGAAGCTCAGAGAGGTAGGGTGGGACAAGGCCATTTAAAGAATTAAAAACAATAAAAGAATCTTAAAATGAACCCTAAAGTCCACAGGCAGCAAGTGGAGGGAGGCCAGGATGGGTGTTATGTGCTCCCTCTTGTGCTCTAGTTAGCAGACGGGCGGCAGTGTTTTGAACTGACTGAAGACGTGAAAGGGAGGACTGGCTAATTCCAAAATAAAGTGCATTGCAGTAATCAAGCCGAGAGGTAATGAAGGCATGGATTGCCATTTCAAAGTGCAGGTGCGCGAGAAAAGTCCTTAGCAAGCTGCCTGAGGTGAAAGAAACTCGACTTAACTACTGCACTAATTTGGCGGTCCAGTTTAAAATCGCTGTCCATCTTAAAACCCAAGTTACTCACAGCAGACTTCACATAAACTGCCAAAGGACCCAAATCAACAGGGGAGGATCCACAGGAGCCGCTCGGGTCAAACACAATCACATCTGTTGTCCTCTCGTGTGATAGTGCTGAAAACAGAAGTGACACAGAAGGAATAAACACAAAATGTAAGATTGATTCTTTAAGATGAAAGCAGATTTACTATCTGATGTTTGATAGCGTGTGAAAAGAAGAAACAGATCACTCTTTAGGATTCTGAATTGTCTAGACAGTAGGGAAATTTTGAGATGGCGAATCAGAAGTTAAGAAAGTAATACTAATGAAATACCTGACATATGTGTTGTGTTGTATTTAGAAACTCTGATACCATGCCACATTGTCGATGAGTCTTGAAACATGAAGACATTTTTAGCAGTAAAACCAGTGGTCGGATGTGAACTATGCCACAGGAAATTACTTCAAGCTTAGATCTTTAATAGTTTATACCTGTGTTTGTTTATGTGCAGGAATGGGACAGCGGGGAGACCGGGTCAGCGTCTAGATCCCATCTCTGGAACCCTCTCTCCACATTCACAACCCCGATCCATTAGAAATGTTTGTTCCCTCTCCCCCCCTCTCTCTTTGTGTATATATTTTATCAGAGTTTATCAGTGTAGCATCAGTTGGAGTTGCACAGCAGGACAGGAAAGACTGTTTCCTCAGTTCCTATTTCAATAATTGTAGCAGTAATTGCACATTTTGACAGGATGTGATGTGGGTTTGATCATATGTGTAACTGAGCCAGTGAATATAAATACAGATTTGTATTATGATTCCTAAGTTTATGTGTGGAAAGTGTATTATTGCAATGACTTGCCTTAACCTTCAAAGCTTTTTCTTGTCCTTGAAAAAAGCAGCTGACAAAAAAACTACACATGAAGGTCTGTTTAGAAGCTGCTCTGGGATTTTTGATTATGATACAGGATCTTTGTCAGCAGATGGAGTTTGTCCAGATTCCTAGCAACAGATACTAAATGAACCCCGATAGGAGACTGTTTTGACAACATTAATTTTTTAGGCTTAACCAATGTTGTAATTTATTTCATAGTGCAGTACTGTTGGCTGATTGGCTGTATTTACCAGTGCCATATTCAATATAAAAAACATCTATTATACCATTTTAGAGTTTGAGGTAGTAAAACACCACTAATTGTGCTAATATAATGTATTTGTGTAGCCCTCACTATATCAAAGCCAGATGTTATAAAGCGCTTTACATTGGAGAAAAGAAAATACCCGTGAATGATATGTGCATACAGTACAACAAGAGAAGAAACTGTGAAATGTAAATCATACAAATATTCAGCATGTTAGACATGAATTACATGCACACACATACCAGACTTCATACATATAGTGCACACATATACACACATGCAAGCAATTTACTGCTAATCAATAAAGTTATAAAAAGTTTTTCCATAAAATACATGTTCAGAAAGAATTCAAGCACATTACTTATGTTGCAGCTGTGGCTTCATCAGGCAGGACATCAGAGTCGAGGTGCTCTGACAGTAAATGACCTTTTTTTATTTGAAGACTGTTGACTGAAGGTAGATCAAGAGGAAGAGAGTAAATGAAAAACAGAATTTGGATCCAGGTAATGACAGAGTTTGTAATGATTGTGTAGGAAAAGGCACTAAAACTGTCCTGCTGCAGTTTGGCTAAATATTCTGCAGAGGGCACTGTATATATACAATTTCAACATCAAAACACCTTCAGCTCAACATAAAGAGTGTCATTTAAGAAGGTGATCTCCTTTGTAAGAAAAAGCACATGTCCTGTGTTCAAAAGAACATTGTGATCTTGATGTGTTTGAAGCCAAGCAATGGTGAAACATCCTCAGTTGTGCAACAGCTACTGATTCTGTAACGTGCTTTACGTCATGTGATGATGGGACGAGCACCAGCACATCATATTTGAGTCTACCGATCTATATTTAAAGGTGAGTGTGCTGAGGCGTCAGTGCCGATACACCTCCCACCTGTCTATGTGGTTTTTATGGCGGATAATAACTCCGCAGAGACTGGTTGTCATTGTGCTTCAGGAAGCAGCAGAAAGCCAACTCCATATTAGCAGTTTTATTACTTTTACTGGCCTCCGCAGCAGCTCAGACACTGTCGCTCGGCGGCTGATACACACAGAGAATATATTTATTCACTTTTTGTTCATACTCACAGGAAAACAGAGATGAAAAGACTTGGAGGAACGGTAGGGTCACAAAGTCTGCCTGATTTGTCCTCATATTCATGTCTGAGTCATAGTTTACTCTTCCTGTGTAGTCTAAGGCAACCACATGCATACACAGTGGAGATATTCAGCTGCAGATAATGGCATTAGGCAAATCTGTTTGAATACGTGGCAGAATAATAACAGCAGGCCTTAGCAATGCGAGTTCAACATATTGATGAAACAAAGTGGCACCTTAATTTGCACCTACACCACGCTGGTTAGTAGCAGTCTTCCCCCCATTCGTTTCTGTATGTGCATATGTGACGCTCTGAGTTATACATCAGGTTGATGTTAAATTACATTTGTAATCTTGATATTCGTGATAATTACCCTTTTAATGTCACCCCATGCTGTGTCTGTATGTATTAGCTAAAGGAACGTATGAAGAGAGTGAAAATGAAGGTGTGTGTCGACACTAAGAGTGGTGTTAGCATTTCATTTACACCCTGTAAGTTTTGGCAGCTGTTTTGGGGTAATAATTTAATTTAATGTAGTGCAATACACTCCCTAATTTTTTTTTATGCAGGCTACCAATACATCCTGCATTCTAAAAGATAATGGCAAAACAATATGCTGTTGCTTCTGCCATTTTCTGACCCATTCAGACATACTAAGTCATTGACTGCAATCATTTTGTTCTTCAGTGGATTTATAGGAACACTCAGTAATACTCCTTGAATAAGTTACAAAATATTACACAGGGAAATTTACGAAGCATGAAATGTGTACACAAACCGTGAAGCCCATGTCATTGTTGTCAGGTTAAAATTTAAAGTTAGAGTCAACCCAAGCTGTTTTTTAACAACTGCACATTTTTTTCTGACTTGTGCTGCATCCTTCAGCTTATTTGAAAACATGAAAACTGGAAAAGCTTGGTCCAAGCTCATGCCAAAGAGTCCCTATTTTGTCAATACACAAAGATGGCTTCTTGATTTCCACAGATACTGCTACTCGGATGTCTGAGCAACTAACATGCATATTGCAAAAACTGTAAATATTTCATACTGGACCATAACTAGCCATAATCGGTGTAAAATTCTCACATGAATAATCTGTGACCTGCTAGTCCAGAAAGTAATGTAGGATTTGGAGGCTTGGATAATCTCATGTTTAATGGAAAGGATAAGAGGAGGGTTGTAATAACAGCACAATAGATACTTTGTCATTTTGTTTTCTCAACATTTATGTATTTTACTTTGGTTTGTGTATGAGATACCATCCATCCATCGATCCATCCATTATCTATACACTGCTTAATCCTCACTAGGGTCGCGGGGGGAGCCTATCCCAGCTGACTTAGGGTGAAGGCAGGGGACACCCTGGACAGGTCGCCAGTCTATCACAGGGCCACACTTAGAGACAGACAACCAAGCACACTCACATTCACGCCTACGGACAATTTAGAATAACCAATTAACCTCAACATGTTTTTGGACTGTGTGGGAGGAAGCCGGAGAACCCGGAAAGAACCCACGCTGCACAGGGAGAACATGCAAACTCCCCCCATCGAGATGCGAACCGGCGACCTTCTTGCTGTGAGGCAACAGTGCTAACCAACTGCGCCACCTTGCAGCCCTATGAGATACCAGTTACAGTTTTTTTTTTTTTTTTTTGTCCAGGTCAAAAACATGCCACACCAACCCTATACTTTTGTTTCAAATCTTTACAACAAATGTCAGTTTTCAAAAGAATGATCGAATGAACAAACGGCTAAACGTTTTGTTGCTGACTCCCAGATGGAAACTATTTCCTGTAACAATAGAGGCATGTGTTTGTAGTGAAGGAGTGCTGAATAGGTCCACTCCTATCGAAACTGTATGAAATCAGGTGGGTTAATGTTGATTCTCTGTGACTCAGCTCTGGAATTTTACCCTTCCCCCACCTTCATAAATATCAAAAGAACGGAACACATTCACCCACCAAGCATTATGATATCTCTTTTATTGTCTACTGACAGTACACACACACAACACAGTGTGACTGAGACTGGAAGCTGTTTAATGCGATACTGGAGAGTATTGCATATTATTATAGTGGCTGCGTGAATCATGATTGCAGAAACCAATCTGAAACTGACTGACTGGCATGCATGTAACGTCAGGTTTTTCAGGACTGCAGGCACTAAAATGACAGCTTATATGGTATCAGCTGTCAGATTCTTTTTTTGGGGCCTTTTTTTTTTATAAGGGATAGTGGGGAAGTGGAGGAAGGACATGCAGTAAAAGGCCATGGTTTGGACTCAAACCCATGGCGGCTGTATCGGAGACTATAGCCCCTGTTTATGGGTTGCCCACTCAACCTGTTGAGCTATTGGAGCACTCCGCTGTGAGATTCCTTACCTCGGTAATAGTAGCAGTGGCATAATGAAAAATTCAGTCCTGCTTTTAAAAGGGTTACTTTGATGCTTTTAGCTGGTCTAGGCAAATCTTCAAATCTTTCATATATTGTTGGTAATTTAATTGGACAATTAGACTTGTTTTGTATTAAAAATGTCAACAAAAAAAAAGTATGGTTTAATATGTAAAGCTGTCAAATGAAATGTGAATTCTGCCCTGGCTGTGGAACAGTGGACCAGCTGTTTACACTTGTATTGTAGCTGAGGTGGCCATGATATTATGGTTATCTCGTCCACGTGTGTTTTGTGGACTTGGACGGACACAGCCCTGTTTCTCGAGGACCCTGTGGGCAGTAATGCTTGATATCGAACATGTTTCCAGTCGATGTTGAACTCCAGCTAGTTTGCCCCTTCTCTCCAACTGTGTTTGTGATATTTAGGGTCCGAGGACCAAGGTCCAGGCAAGGACCCTATTGTTCCTGCTCCGTTTCTTTCTTTCTTTATTCTTATTTGCTTGACGCACATAAAACGGTTTTCGAATGGTGAGCCGTTAAAGTTGTTGAGCTGCCGCAGCCTCCTACTTACAGAAAGGCTGAGTGAGGTCCTGGGTCACCTGTGTACTTAGTGTGCTGTCTGTATAGGACTGTGTGTGTGGATGTGTGTGTGTGTGTGTGTGTGTGTGTGTGTGTGTGTCAGCGGGGGAGGGGTGATGGTAGGAGTGTCTCTGTCTGGAACAGCCCTGACCATGTGTGTGTGTGAGGAGGGGTGAGATAGCTGTCACAGCTCTCAGGTGGAAACTGTTCTCAGTCTTTCTGGTCTAGCCCCTCAGACTTTACATGTTGGATCACAGTCCTGCCCTGCTGACATTCTCATGTCATTATCCATCCAAAGTCACAGCGCCACCTTCTGGAGACATGAAAGGACACGTTCTACAATTATAGTTGCCATTATTAGGTGGTTAGGGTTACGGTTAGGTGATTGTCACCTTGTTCACAGCGCATTTCTGCCACAACCCCGACGTGCGCCGCATCCGACACGCGCAGACCGAGGACCCGACAAACGCTGCTTGCAGCTTTAATTTTAGTAGGAACTAGACATTTTGCAACCATGTATGAAGAATGAAAATCTGCAGGTTCAAGTCTGAGGCCATGATTCTCTGCTTAAAAATGATGGTGTCCTTCCTCTTGATTGGGAAAAGAGTGTAAATATCTTG